CTCTCTCACTGACCGCAGTAAGATTTTAGAGCAAGAGAGAGGGTCTAATATCCCAGAGAGGCAAAAAAGTATAGTCAAAGTGACATCTGCACTTGTTTGTTCCTTGCAGCACTCTTTACAATAGCCAGAATCTGGAAAAAACCTGAGTGCTCGAGAACAGATGACTGGTTAAATAAACTTTGGTACATCTACACAGTGGAGTAGTATGCAGCTGTTAGAAAAGATGAAGTCATGAAATTTACATATAAGTGGTAGTACATGGAAAGTATCATGCTAAGCAAAATGAGTCAGAAAGAGAGGGACAGACATAGAAAGACTGCATTCTTCTGGGGAACATAAAGTAACAAAATAGGAGACAAACACCAAAGAATAGCCGAGATTAGTACCAGGAGGTTTACTCCATAGCTTGGAGGCCAGCCGCACACTAGGGGAAAAGGCAGCTCAGATAGAGAAGGAAGCACCAAATAAAGGGTGTTGGGAGGATCCTCCCAGGATGGGAGAAGCATGCTGAAAGTAGACTATAGACTGAACATGATTGCCACTCAATGCCTCTTTTGCAAACCACAACACCCAAAAGGAGAGAGAGAACAAAAGGGAATGCCCTGACACAGAGGCAGAAAGGGATGGGGGGGGGGGGGAGATTGGCGGGGAGGGATACTAGGACCCGTGCTGGTGGAAAATAGGCACTGGTGGAGGGATAGGTATTTGATCATTGTATAATTGAAATCCAAGCACAAAAATTTGTAAGTCTACAACTGTACCTCATGGTGTTTCACTAATAAAAAATAAAAATTGAAAAAAATTGAAAAAAAAGAGAGAGGGTCTAAACCTTTTCTAGGTGTCTAATGACCATGGTACCAGGCTTTGAAAGTCTGCTGGTATCCTGATAGTACAGCAACTTTGACCAATGGCTAAACATTGACCCTATGTTACCATATTATCTTGAAAATAACAAAATTTAAATTCAAAAATATACATGTAAGAAACTGAATAGCTATATGGTGTGATAGGCACAGTACAGAAACAGGTGAGCACAGTAGACTTAATGTAGTTTTCTTGCTTTTCAGATAATTTTTTAAACTTCTCACAAAAGACACTAAAAAGGTAAAGGTAAAGGCCCTCCCGTTGATCATCGATTTGCTCGAGCGGGCCCAGTAACATCGCCATTGGAGACTTTGTTGTTACTGTGTTTGGCATATCGAATACGTCACGGGGAGCTTGCCAGGCTCTGCCGTGCGGGCGAGATACTCTCGGTAGCTTGCCGGGCTCTCCGAGAGGGGCGGAGGAATCAAACTAGGGTCGGCCATGTTGGCTGCGTGCAAGGCAAACACCCTACCGCTGTGCTATCGCTAATAACCATTATATTTCCAAAGAAGCTTTCATTCAGAACTTCAGGAGAATCTTAATGAAAACGTTGATACAAATAAGTAACAGACGTGTCAGGGAGCTTATATCAAGGCATTTTTATTTATTTAAGAAATAAATCATAGAAGTGAAAAAGACTGTGTAAAAAAAATTCTATTGATTCAATTCAAACTAATAAATTCAGTAAAAGTTGAAGGATATAAGAAATAAGATTATTGTGTATCTGGCAGTTGCTTTCTATAAACTTGAGGGGTTAAAAAACCCTTTTTAGTTCAAGTTAGAGTTGTACCAAAAAGAATACTGCTGCAGAATGTAAGCTTAGAAAGCAACACAACATTTTTGAAAAAAATTCAAAATCTGAAAAGAAGAAAAATATTCCATATTTATAACTAAAATTCAATATTAAGCTAAACATTCACTTTACATTTATCTATATTTTGTGCAATTAGTATAGAACTCCTAGCTGGATTTTTTTGATAGAAATTGACATGCTGGTTCTACAATTCCTGTGGAAACTCAAAGGACAGAGATAACTAAAGCAATTTTGAAAAAGAACACTGATGCAGGTCTTATACTTTTTAATTTCAAAATTGATACAAAGCAGTAGTAATCAAAAACATGTGGTATATAAGGACAGATATATGTCAATGGAATAAAATAGAAACTTCAGAAGTAAGCCTATGTGTATGATCAAATTTTTTCATTGAAATCACTGTGAAATATACAGTTCATGATCAAATCTCAGTCAAGCAATGTTGCCACACCCATTCCTTCAGCAGTGAGCATTTCTCTGATCAAATAATTTTCAATAAGGTACCAAATTCATTAAAAAAGGAAAGAACAGTTTTCTTAATAAATTGTTTTTACAGTGGTTTTAATAAATTATTTTATTCAAGTTAATAAATTTTTTAAAAATTAATAAAAAACAGTAACAAAAAAATTCCAAGGGCTAAGCAGTAAAACATTTGCCTTGCATGTATGTGAAACTGGGTTTGAGTCTTGGCACACACACACACAAAAATAACTCTCCCAAAGCAAAAGTATGGCTTATGCATTGGAATGTGTGACAGTACAGCAGATAGGGCACTTGCCTTACATGTGGCTGACCCTGGGTTTGATCCCCAAAATCTCATATGGTCCCCCAGCTTACCAAGAGTGATGCCTGAGCGCAAAGTCAGGAGTAAACTCTGACCAGCACCCCCTGCCCCAAAAACCAAAATAACGATCACGATCACAACCATCCTGTTATTCGTCAATTGCCTCGAGCAGGTCCCAGTAACGTCTCCTTTGTCCTAGCCCTGAGATTTTTTAAAAAGTGCCATATTCAAGGCTCTTTCAGAGTTAGGAGAATGAGACCCTTCATTGTTACTGGTATTTGGCATATTGGGTACGCCACGAGGAGTTTGCCAGACTCTGCTGTGTGGGCAGGTTACATTCGATAGCTTGTCAGTTTGTCCAAAGTAGGAATGAGATGATAAGATGTCACGCGGCCACCAATGTGGCCGCATGCTTCTGGGAGCTGGGTTTTATAGTCTCTGAGTCTTGGCTGTAGATGGGATTACATGGCGCCAGGGGGCCAGTTGGTGGGTGTGACCCCTGCCTACTGGAATTTAGAGGATCTGGGTGGAGGATGCTCAGCCCCAATCCGAGTAGCCTTGGAGATCTCAGCCCCCGGACCCGCATGCCTTTGTTCCCCTACCGGTACCTTCATGTGTGCAGAGAGTGGTCTCAGCATGGTGGTGGCAGGTTCTGGAGGTCTTCAGCTGCCGGAGCCCTGATCGGGAGGGGAGGAAAACTCAACCTGCTCCCCTCCAAGGGGCCCCGGTGAGGACAGCCAGGCCCGGGGGCAGGAGACTCTGCGCTGCTCTCTTCCGGGAGCTGGGTTTTTTTTTTTTTTTTTGCTCCCAGAAAACCAAAATAATAAAAAAAAAACTTCATGTCTGAGATTTGGATTTTTTTTTCTTTAGATATGGCACCAAAAGTACAAAAAACCAAAGAAAAATAGATGTCATCAAGGTTAAAGATGTGTTGGAACACAGTATGCCTGAAATAACTCTAATATGAACAATCACAGTATCTTGGTAAAAATAAGTTTTTTCCAAAAAGAATCCACATTTATGATTCAACAAAGAATAATTAAAAGTATTCATCAAGTCTCAGCATCACAGGAGATGGAAAGTTTCTTTTAGAAACTATTTTTTGAAAAAAAAAATTTTTTTGAAACAGTTTCTCCTGTTACCTAGAATCAAAATTTCATCTGCTGAACCACTGTATGTAAGAAATTCTTCCAATAAACATAGGAATTTTAAAGCCCAGGGAGGATTCACATCACTAATTCTTCAAACAAACGAACAAAACCTATCTATGAACTAGTCTATAGATTATATGGTATAAACTTCTTTCATTTTAAGAGTCAACCTGAGCATCTACATAGCATTTAGCATTTGATGACTATAAAACATCGAGAGTACAGTTAAATACCACATATGTAGAACTAATCTTGAGAAAGATGAGAGCCCCTAGTCAGGAAATCTCAGTGTAAACTACAATGACTCAAGATCAACTCTTGGAGATCAGAAAGACAGTACAATGTTTAAGGCACTGGCCTTGCACACACAGCCAACCCAGATTTACTCCCCAGCATCACTAGAATAGTCACTGAGCATTGAGCTTCACCCGTAGAGGCCTAGTCCTCCTTCTCTTGTATTATTGGGTATTGCCACCCTTCATTGTAAAAGGATCCATTCCCTTCTGTTCTCTACATCCATCAAAGTAATGTTAAGTCAAACACAGCAGTCAAGAAAATGTTATACTAAAATACCTTAGATATAAATCTAAATTTAAGAAAACTCCCAGAGAGAGTCCTAGGATCTCACAAGTAAGTGACAAAGCTGGAAATCCATCCATTCAGTTCTTCATAACAAGGAACAAAGTAAAAGTGTTCACTCAGCATTGTCTTTAGCACGCCTAATGACCCAGTCCTTCAACCAATCTCCTCAGCTCTTTAATCACCTTACTCTACACTAAATACTCACAAAGTTCTCCAAATCTACCATGCCAGGAAATACAGATTAAACTTCCTAATATTGATGACTAAAAGGTAAAGGGAAAGGCCCTCCCGTTGATCGTCGATTTGCTCGAGCGGGTCCAGTAACATCTCCATTGGAGACTTTGTTGTTACTGTGTCTGGCATATCGAATACTCTCGGTAGCTTGCCGGGCTCTCTGAGAGGGGCGGAGGAATCGAACTCGGGTCGGCCATGTTGGCTGCGTGTAAGGCGAACGCCCTACCCGCTGTGCTATAGCTCCAGCCCCATTGATGACTAATGAGTCTTAATTTTTAGATTCCTATACTATATTCTTAATTTCTTAGGAACAATGTTCTGTTATTGAATCATAACTAATAAGCCACCTAACATCCAAATCATTTCTCAGAGCACAAACATATTAAAATGCTTGCTAGAGATATTGGTAATGTAATTGTTCTTTTACACCCAGTTATTTAGTTGTTGCAGCTGTTTTTGTGATGTCAGGCACTGGATTTCACACATTTGGGACATGTGCACTACCACTGAGCTACCATCTTTTGTCAATCTGGTGAATCGCAATGCAGTTAGAGAAATTTAAACACCTTACCATCCAGATTGTCCACGTAGCAATACACATCATAAGTTTCATGAGGTGAGCGAAATCCATAAGTCCGGACTCCCTGCTTCCCCATCATATCTCCATAACACCCTACACGAGGGGCCCGGATAGGATATCTGGGGGAAATAAAGAGCTAATAAGGATCACTTTATTTTAACTGAAAAAAGAAATAGATAGATGATAGATAGATAGATAGATAGATAGATAGATAGATAGATAGATAGACAGACAGATAGACAGACAGACACGCAGACAGGCAGGCTGACAGACAGACAGACAGACAGACAAATAGAGTCAGCTTGTCGTTTTCAAACCTCTCACCTCACAGTCTGATCAGAGAGCCAGCCTGCATCACACTGCTCAAACCCATCCTCATAGGCTGCATAGAGCTGTTCTGGGGTGGCGATCACTGCCCCAACATCCAAACAGGTTTGTTTGGCGCTTTCAAAGTTCAGAGTGTACCTGCTGGTGGCTGCCCGATAGTGAAATACAACTCCTGCAAAGACAGAGCAAACCATTCCAAGTCTGTACAAATGTCCCTTCATACTAGATTCCCTCTTGTCTCCTTTCCTGGTCTTCCTGGATATGATAGAACCCAGAGCAAGTTAATCTGCTTGTACATTCTCCATAGCAGCAGCCTTTTTCAATAAATTATGATGTGAGGCTCACTCCCCGCCATTGCATGGTCTCCCATACCACTAATGGTAAGCCCAAACCAATAAAAAATATAAAAAGAAAGAAAAAAAACATGAACTGCAAATGTCATTTTATGTTTCTTAACTGCTACATTTGAAAGTAAAAACAGAAGGTACTATTGAGTTAATATTTAACACCAGCACAGCCAAAATATATTTCACCAGTTTCAAAAGTGCTCATAAGATATTTTACATTTTTGTATATATAAGACTCTAAGAATTTCACCTCCAACGACAATATGCTAAGCTAGAAAGAACACAGAATCGTGAGAATTCTTGCTTCACTTCCAATTATCTTCCTTAATCATGTACAACCCATGATTTAATTTCTTGGAAATGATCATTCTGGATAAGAACTGAGTGATGAAAGTAAAGGAACAAACAAGATACATCTCAGTATCTGTATTGCAAACTATATGCCTAAAAGGAGAGAGAAAGAGAGAGAGAGAGAGAGAGAGAGAAGAGAGAGATCCATAGAGGCAGGCTGGGGGAAGGGGTAGTATGGTGAGAGGGAAACTGGGGTAGTTGAAGGTGGGAAATGGACAGTGGTGGAGGGCTAGGTGTTAGATCACGGTATGACTGAAACTAGATCATGAACAGCTTTATAACTGTGTTTCACTGTGACTCAATTTTTGAAAAATGCAAGAAAGGTTATAGAATAGTATATGTTTTTCTTAATCATTATTTTACAAGCAAAACTTCGTGTATCTTCTAAGACAGATGAAATGTATAATTCTTATATCACAGAACGCTTGAAGTTCTCCAAACTCCTCAAGAAGAAATTATTCATTCTGGTGTTTGCCCCAAATTCTACTTTCTTTTAGTTTAGGAGTTGCTAAACGAATGGTTCTTGTTTGATTCTGTTTTAGCTGTGAGGTCATACCTAGCTCACCTCAGGGTTTATTCTTGGCTTGTGCTCAGAGAACTCAGGTGGTGCTCAAGGGAAATTATGTGTGTGATGCCTGAGATCAAACCTGGGTCAGCTGTATGCAAGGCAAGATAACTAGACAATGTGTCTCTCTGGCCTTCAGTGATTCTTACTTAAACTGAAGGAAGAAAGAGTTGGTGAGGAGCACAGCCATGGATCCTCTCCTACTTCAACAAAAGCATTTCTATGTAACTAGATTATAGATGTTAACTTATTTCTAAACGTCTGCAAAGCGAGTCATGCAAACAAAAGTGTAGAAGACACTTAATGCAACTGGGTCTTATGGGATGAGATTTTATTAAAAGTCCTATCACTTAATACTACCTTTTGTTTATGCAGTTTTGATTTCCAAGATACCTTCCACTCTCTTTTTATTCCTAATAATTTCCCCAGAGTTTACCTCTTAGCTATAAGAAGATTATTTCCCACGTGTCCATTCTGAGATTCTCTCTCTTCCACGATAGATCAAGTGCACATAAAATCAATGTGTACCTTTAACAAATGCTCTAAAATAGGAAATATATATCGTGCTATCTGCTAAGTATCAGAAGTAATTCATAAAGATCTCTATAACTTAGAATAAAAATTTGAATGGTTTTAAATTTGATAATCATTAGAGATTCAAATCATTTTCTTGCTGATTTATGTGTATTGAAGAAATGCAGTAAAAGAAGATAAACGATAAAGGAGCTTTCATGACCAAGGCAGAAAAAGTAGACTGTATTGTTTTTGCAATTGTTGAAACAATTTTAAGACCTCATGGGGAGTAAAAGATTGAAGTGGAGAATTTTCATTATCTCTGGGGCCAAGGTGCCATGATTAATTCTTTAATTATGAAAATACTAAGAAATTGGAAAACTTCTATTAGAATTTTTAAAACATTTACATAGAAGTTTTTAGTGTATATATAATACAGAGTTGATGTGTATATATATAATATATATACAATACTTGTATACATAGGTGTGCATATGTATGGAGAGAAAAATAACAATAAAATGAAATAATGTTTCACTAATATTAATAAGAATGTTAGAAGGCCCTAGGAGAATTAGTTGCTGTGTAGATAATATACAACTGGATTTTTTTAAGTGAAAAATAGATCCTGAATGCAAAAAAAATTCAGAAAGTTAATGTGTTGCATCTAAAATTCAAAGTATTTCCCTTTGGCTATGCTAGAATGTTTTAATAAAGCCCTTTGTATGTATTTCTAAAAGGAAAATATTTTATAGGGAAATGGAGGGTAGGAAGGGAAATCTGTTCTATCATGCCTGGTTATTAAAACTTTGCTTAATAACTTGCCAAATATCATGCTTCCAAGAGCTATGGCTTGTGTGTACCCAATTAAAACAATTTTTTTTTTTTGCTTTGTCTCTAAGTTCAAATGACAAAGAAACTTCTTCTGGAAGGGGTATAAAACTAAAACGTGTCTTTTGTAAGACTTAATGTATAACTTATAACATATCAACCTTTAAAGATATGTGACTTCTTTTTATAATCCAATTAAAATGTTTATTTAGCCCTAGTTCTTTTAAGGCAATGGTATTTAACATTGTTTAAATTAACCAAGTGTATTATTTCACCAGTGTTAGTTAGAGAGAATTTATATTTCTTAAAAACAAATGCAACAATTTTAATAATTCTATAAGAATGAGAATAAGAAGGAAAACATTTTCTGTTTGTATGACATGTGCACGTGCTTATGCCTATAAACACACATGCACAAAAATTAAAACAAACTGTAGATCAGTCTTTACAGTAAAGCAAGTAATCACTGATAATAGTGAATAATGATACTTTAAACCCTGTCTTGAGATATTTATTACTGGTAGTATATTACACTCAGTAAAATTGCTGCTTCCCAAATCACCTGTCTTGGCCCCCTCAAAAAAAATAACAGTTAATTTTTGATGAAAATCATGAATTTCTGGATTGATGCATATTTTTACCTTTTGTTCAAACCCTCGCCAGTTACTAAACTTATTGAACCAGGTATCAACATATACTATCTTCTTAAATATTTAAGACAAACTTACCTTCTACAGCCAATGATACAGTGTGTTGTGTGTCCTCAAGTCCATACATGACATCACAGCGGTAGAGACCTGCATCACTTGCACGCACTTTGAGCATGGTGAGTGTGGCATCACCTCCATCCTCCAGAAGTGTCGGCACCAACACTCTGTCTTTGTAGTCATCCCCGATCTTGACATTTCCATTTTGGACAACAAACACAGTGGTCTCCTTTAAATCTTTCCCATTTTTGTCCACTTCAATCTTAGACCATTTGATTCGAAGAAGTTCATTAGTGGTGTTATAACTGGATGGTAAGTTTGGCATGGTTGAAAAATGGCACGGAAGGTCAACTTTTCCAGAGAGGGAGGCCTTAACAGTTGGGCTTTTCCCCACTTTGTCTATGAGAAAAATAAAATAAAATTAGTGGTTCTTAAAAAATTAACTGAGTTAAATAGATGAGTTGATAAGAAGCCCTTAAAGTGACATCTTTAAATAGGAACACAATAAAAATGGCTTTATGTAGAAAATAGCATGCAATTTCAGTAATGTTTTATAACAAAGGTAAGGACTTATAGTGCTCATTTCTATACCTAAAAATGGAATTTGTTTTTAAGTATTTGTAACGAATATATCACAGAAACAAACTAAATTAAAAGTAATAAGGCACATATAAGAAACCAATCAGTCAAAGGCAAAATATGAGGGCAAACTAGAGTCAATAATTCAGGTTTGGAGGAGTATCCATGTGAACGTAAATTGATGCAGCCACTCTTAAAAAGAGTGGGGAGGTTCCAAAAAAACAAATATATACTGCTATACTGCTTTATGATCCAGCAATTTCACCACTGGGCATTTGTCCAAAGAACATGAAAACACTAATTTGAAAAGATAGTTGCACTCTTATGTTTATTGCAACACTGTCAACAATAGCTAGATGTGGAAACAATTTAAGTATTCACTGATAGGTGATGGGATAAAGGAGATATGGTATAAATAAATACACAGTAAAATACTGCTCAGCTATAAGATGAAATAGAGGCATTATGAGAACCTTGAGAGATTTATACTCAAAGAATTTATATTTCAAGTTAAGTGAAATAACTGAGTCCAAAAAAAGGCAACATATGATTTCACTTAGGTGAAAAATAAAGAAAACAAAAGAACAGTTGGACAATCCTAGATTCTGAAACAGAATAGTGATTGCCAAAAACAAGGAGGAGAGGGAAGGTAGAATAGCTAAAGTTCTACTACAAGGTAGTAGTGGGAAAACCGACTTTGGACAGCAGAGTAGTATGTATAAACAGATATTTTGGTGTAAAGATGTACAAATGAAACTTACAAAGTGTAAACAGGAAGTAAGAGAGAAGAAGAAGGAAGGAAGGAAGGAAGGAAGGAAGGAAGGAAGGAAGGAAGGAAGGAAGGAAGGAAGGAAGGACAAGCTTGGTGATTTTCTAAATGCATAACATTAACAGAACAGTTAAGAAATGCAGGACACAGTGATAGATTAATCTTTAACATGTGATTCACTAAAGGTCTTCAGCATAAAAATGCAAGTGATTATGTAAGGGAAAAAAATGACTGGGAAAGGAAATAAAGTTTACCAAAAAGCAGCTTGAAAGCAGCTCCGAGAAGTACAATTTTGTACAAAATTTTAATGCTTTATACTAGTTCTAAGTTACAAAATATCACTTTGATAATTAGGAGATATAATATAGACAGCCTAATTCTTTAATGGAAAAGTAAGACCTCAGTCATGTACTTATTAAATCATAGTTCAAATAACATAGAAAGTAAGGGTGGGGTAGTTTGACCTTGCCAGGAGTATTATTTCATTGACATTGTTTAGCACTGCTGGTATCTGGTGCTAATAAAAACAGAGTGACTCTTCATGAGGAGGACAGGGCAGGAAATACAGATTTGAAAGTCTAGCTAGGCTGGTGATCAGAAAGGCAGATGAAATTAAAACTTATGTCTACAGGTTAGACATGAAAAATGTTTGTTAAGATAACTGATGCATTACCATAGAGGAAATGAAAAAAAAAGTTCAAAGAGGAGGAGAAAATTTTTTAAAGTACTTAAGTAGACACGGACAGGGGGAAGTCTGACACTTGAAGGACCTGCTTTGGTTCTGCGTTTGAACCAAGCCTTTCATCATAAAGACAAATCCAGCAGCCGTCACTTTGCAGTGAAACACTACCTCTTGATTATATGTTAGGGGGCATTGGGAGAGTTTGCTTCTGTTCGCTTAATCCTCTGAAAATATCAATCTGTTGAATGTCCTTTTCCCTTTTATAGGAGTCTAGATCCCATCCCCCTCTTCTTTGCCTATTTCTAACTCTTTACTAATTAGTTTGACAATGTGTTGATCATAACAATACACAATCAACTCCCATCTGATGTGACTACAGTGAAAAAGCTAACAGAAGCCTCTGGAGTAGGATAGTAGTGTCAATTAACAAAATAATGCAAATCTAATATTTACGGTATCGATGGTGATATGTGAAGGAGTGGCATATGGCAAGTGATAGGTGTCAATGTCAATATCAATATGCATCAGAAATGACAGAGCTATCAATGTAGACCTGTAGATTTAATTAGGGATAGAAAACTTTGAATATTGTAGGAATATATTATAAATGAGCTGTGTTTTTAAGAAAAAAATGTTCTTTTTACTATTAAAAAATAATCCCAAAGGCAAGAGGGTAGGGCATTTGCCTTGCACACAGCTGACCTGGGTTCGATCCCTGGCATCCCATATGGTCCCCCCAAGCACCCAAGCACTGCCAGGAGTAATTCATGAGTGCAGAGACAGGAGTAACCCCTGAGAATCGCTGGGTGTGACCAAAAAGAAAAAAAATCCCAAATTGATATTTCCTTTTTCTTCAAGAACACTGGCATACAGAATATTTTATATTCCACAAATTTAAATTAATACAATATTATGTTTGTTGTATTTGTGCTAGAAATCACTAACATTCCAAATTTGTAATGGTTGTGTGCTTATCATTTTATTAATCTATAGTTTAACAAAATGGGATTAAGACACTTAACAAGGTTAAATAAAAATGAAGTTTGCTATTAACAGTACTAAGCTAATCTTTAAAATGTTAAAGCCATTAGCCTTTTGTACTCTAACAGCAAGTTAGAATACATCTATTTGTAATGGTCTCCTTGGTTTACAAAATAAAATTTCTTACTTAAAATTCACCCTCAGAATGTGGCTCATTCAATCCCTTAGTAAGATTGGTTCATTAAAAAGAAGTAACACAAATGTTACCAGCTTGCCAGTTAGACCTGGGTCATATCACATGTCTTTTTAGATATAATCAAAGAATTTTTTATATTTGGTATTTATCGAGTTCTTCCTGCAATCCTAAATTAAATTCTGTAAGAATTCTTAGTCTTAGGGGCCAGAAAGAAGTACTGTGGGTAAAGTGTTTGCTTTGCATGTGGCAGAGCAGGGTTTGATTCCTGGAACCACATAGGGTCCCCTGAGTACCACCAGGAGTGACCCCTGAGCAAAGAGCCAGGAGTAAGCCCTGAGCACTGCTGAGTATGGTCCAAAACCAAAACAAACAAACAAAGAAAATTCTTAATGTTTGTTCCTTTTCAGTCTTGACCACAGTATTTTTCTCTGGGGTTCCCAAGCAATGTCAGAAGTCCTCTGGGCCAGCCCTTGCAGTAGTTGGCTCAGCAGGGCAGGTCTGATAGTTTAATGTTTAGCCCAACAATGTGGTGCTGCTTAGGCCCAATGGTGCTGGGACCACCGTGGCTATACCTGGTGGGGTTCAAGATGGTGAGGTAGAGGTTGTACAGTGAGGGGGGAGGGGGGAAGGGGGGAGGAGGGATAGGGAAACCATGATGTGGTGTGTCAGGGATCAAACCTAGCACATAATGCACCACTTTAGTCCTTTAAATTGTCTGCCCGGGTCCCTCTCAACTTATTTTCCAAATTTCTCTCTAAACTTAAACCTATTGTTTACTCATGATCTTTCATATAAATTGGTAAATCCCGCTGGGATCGTCTGTGGAAAGTAATTCAAACTTGACTCATATTCCTCTTTTTTTTTTTTTTTTTTTTTTTTTTTTTTTGCTTTTTGGGTCACACCTGGCGATGCACAGGGGTTACTCCTGGCTCTGCACTCAGGAGTTACTCCTGGCGGTGCTCAGGGGACCATATGGGATGCTGGGAATTGAACCTGGGTCAGCCGCGTGCAAGGCAAACGCCCTACCCGCTGTGCTATCTCTCCAGCCCCTCATATTCCTCTTAAGAGGATTTCATTATTTTGTGAAAGAATTTTTTTAAAATTTTGTATTTTTTGCCAGTAGTCCCAAGAAACAAAGAAGTGAAAATACTATGACAAAGAAGAAAGAAAAGAAAAGAAAAGAAAAGAAAAGAAAAGAGGGAGAAAAGGAGGGAGGGAGGAAGGGAGGGAGGGAGGGAGGGAGGGAGGGAAGGGAAGGAAGGAGGGAAGGAAGGGAGAGAGGGAAGTAGGGAGGGAGGAAGAATAGAGAGAGGGGGAGGGGCAAGGGAGGGATAGAGGAAGAAAGGAAGGGAAGAAGGGAGGAAGGAAGGGAGTGAGGGAGGGAGGGAGGAAGGGAGGGAGAGAGGAAGAGAAGGAAGGAAGGAAGCAAGGAAGGAAGGAAGGAAGGAAGGAAGGAAGGAAGGAAGGAAGGAAGGAAGGAAGAAAGGAAGGAAGGAAGGGAAAAAAGAAAAAAATGATCAGTCTAATCTATCTGATCATGAGCTTTCTGAAACTTACAGAACTACTCAGTTATATATTGGAACAAAGTGATGTCTCAAGGCAAATTTCCCAAAAGCATTTATTGTTCTGGATGTTTATAGCTATAAGAAAATTAAAAGCTTCAGCTGTATATAAATATAAAGTGATATAGAACCCAGTCTTAGCAACAGGATTAACAAAAAAAAAACTGTGTGGTCAAGTCTTTTGTGTACAATGTCTTGGGTTTTAATGCCATGAATCACAAGAACTAAGTCTAAGTCCACTAAGTCTAAATATTTTAGTAAAGAAATTTAGTAGTTCAAAGCATAATGTTTAGACTGTGCATTATTTATAAAAACAATGACAACCCTGCTACCTGCAAGAACTTGTCTGAAACTCTGACAATGCAAGTAACAAAAAGCATGCTAAGACAAAATTCACTGCTCTCACCAGATGGGCTTGAGTTTGAAAGTGAGTAAAGGGAGAAATCTTTAATTAATGGATCATTCATTATTAATCTTCTCTCTGTCAGTAAATTCTAAAAAGAAAGTATGATATAAATTCTAACTACACAATTTGACCAACTATATAAAGACTTGACCAAATGTCCAATTGAAAAGATGGGAATTTATCACTCTGTCAAGTAGTAAACACAGTACTTTTGTTCAGTTACTCATGGAAATGTGACTCCATTTATCAAAATTGGAAGAACACTCAATAATTTGGTCAACATTAAATATTAAATATAATCCATATAGCTAAAGCAAAGTGTTTTTTGTGAGTTAAAACCAATAACCAGTAGATAAGATGTTCCTTAATGTTAGTTAATGACCTTTTGAGTCGATAGAAATAAATGGAGAAAACTTAAAGATTTAACTTTAAAGTACAGAGGTTAAGATTAAAGCATTTGAACTGAATAAAACAAATTTACATCTGCACATCTCTATGAACTTGACAATTGTTTGACAAATGGGAGCTTTATGTTTTCAATATTTGTTCCTTATATAAAAAAATAACTCTGAAACTGACCCCAAACTAATTATTTCTCCTAATAATCATGGTCCATGGGACTAGACTGGCTGTGTTGCCCTCTATGCTGTTACCAAATTACTGTACAGTTTCTACATTAGGTAGGTGAGCTTTGATATGACAGTGTCCTCCTCTGCCAAACAAGGAGAATGAAAAAAACTATCTCATTGGAGAATTAAGACAAAATGGACTACTTGTATATAATAATTATTGCAAAGCCTACTAATAAATAGTATATATATTGCTTGATATTTATACTCTTAAAATATTATATGAAGAAATAGTATAGTGGGTAATGCATTTGCCTTGCATGCGTCCGACCTCAGTTCACTCTCCTGCACCAATCTGCACAGTAGTAACCACAGAACCATCCAGAAGCTGGCTCCAACTTCCATGGACAATGGCCCCAAAATTCAAATAACAATGATATATTTATTATAATTAAATGTGATGTAGAGCTGTGCCACATGTATTTCTCTGCATTGCCTTTTTGAGTAATTTCCTTGTTCTAAGTATGAAGTCTAATTCAGTTTCAAGTGGAGGGTTGACTTATTCCTTAGGGATCCTTCACTACTTTTCTTATAAAAGAGACAGAATAGTAATTGCCAATCTTCTTTAATCTTCTTAGTTCTTCTCAAACTCTATTTTCCAGAGACTTTTATAGCATTTTTTAACAGAAAATACTTCAGTAGTATTAAGATGGAATCTTAAAATAGAATCCATGACATATATTAATCCACATGCAGTGGGGATGCAACTGAGAAAACACACATGCTTTGACAGCATCTGATTCATTATTTTGACTTGATTAATTTATTCAAACTTCTGCCTAATTAGTTTTCAGCCTAATACCATTATTAGCTTAATCAGCATTGAATAGAAAACAATTTAATCTTGTTTGTTAGTTTATTTTTGTTTGGGGGCCACACCTGGTAGTGCTCAGGGCTTACTTCTGGCTCTGCGCTCAGATATCACTCCAGGTGGGGCTTGGGGAACCACATGGAATGCCAGGATCAAACTCTGGTTAGCCTTGCACAAGTCAAGCGTGCTCCCTGGTGTAATATCACTCAAGCTCCCAAATTAATCTCTACCTATCGCTCCCACTCAGTAATTAAAATTTTATTTTAATAACACACCAAAGAAATTGTTGCCAAACTCACCATTTTGTTGGGAATTGGTTGTTATTAAGATAGAGCATATCCATAAGATGATTTTTATATTTACCAACATCTTGTCCTAGAAATGAAAAAAGTAAAGTAAATAAGCATTCAGATTTGCCGTTGGGGTGTGATAAATTACATGGTATTTGTGCACTGTATGTACAGGAATAACAAGAGTACAACAGTACATGAAGCAGCATCTCATAAAAATGGAGGGGACTTACAACAGAAGTTATGCCAACAATCTACTCATTCATGTAAGAGTTACCAAAGTAATTCCAAAGCCTGATGTGGATACATATTACAATGTGCAACCACAACTGAATAGGTTGCAGGAAGAATAACAAAGACCACAATATAAGTAAATAGTGGCTATTCGCCAGCACAAAGAGGGAGTAGTGACCACAAAGTCTATTTAGAAACAGGAAGCTTGGTCGAGGATGAAATAAGAGAAGGTGATGAGTAGTTAAGATACTAAAAGGGATTTGCCTTGAATGTGAAGTAGGGAGGCCACAAAACAGAATAAAGACCTCAGCAGACTTTTAAAAGCACACCATCAAATTAAGTTCTAGGAGACTAAACAAACAAAATGTATTGTGTAGGGGCTGGACTGATAGTACAGCGGGTAGGGCATTTGCCTTTCATGCAGTCAACCTGGGTTCGATCTCCAGCATCCCATACTCCTGGCTCTGCACTCAGTCTCACTCCTGGTTCCTTGAGTACCACCAGGAGTGATACTGAGTGCAGAGCCAGGAGTAACCCCTGAGCATTGGCGGGTATGAGCCCCCCAAAAAAGAAAAATCCAAAAAAATGTATTGTGTAATTAGATATCTATACATCACACACACACACACACACACACACACACACACACACACACACACACACAGAGTATCTTCTATATTGAAACTCTAACCTGGCTCTGTCTTTGTCCATAGAATACTGTATGAATTTGGGTAAGACAGAACAGTGTAGCTCTGAGAATGGTCTCTTCTAGCTTGAATTCCCATGAAGTAATTATTATAAGGAAAAGAAGTAATAGTTATTTGAGGATCATCTAGAAATCAAAGAGCCAAACTCAGAAAAAAATCTCAGATTATTTAATTTTCACAGATGTTCCTTTCCCAGCAACTTATAGTATTCTGTGGCTACCTGAGTACCACCTTTCCATCTTTATGACAAATCTCTAATTCCAATTTTATTATCTTTGTTCCTTCATATAAACTATATATGTGTGTATATACAGATACATATATTTGTGTGTATATATATATGTATACACACACATATATATATAAAGGATATGTACTTAAAAGTAGTTTTTCTCAATCTTTTTTCGAATCGTGGCTCCCTTTCAAGTTTTTTTACTTCCGGTCATCCCTTGTTCTATAGTAGGACCACTTGTCTTTTGCCGTGAACCGCATTTACATTATTTTTACCTCTGGTCCCCTTGGAATATCCTGATGGTCCATAGCAGCGATATAGCCCACTAGTTGAAAAATGCTGTTTAAAAGGATCATTGGGGATAGGAGGGCAAGCTTTTCTTGGAAATGTGTATTCATCTTAAGAAGAGAAAAAAATTGCGGGGAGAAAGGGTCCCTCATTCATTGCTGGTGGGAATGCCGACTGGTCCAGCCTTTTTGGAAAACAATATGGACATTCCTCCAAAAACTAGAAATTGAGCTTTCATATTACCCAGCAATACTAACTCCTGGGAATATATTCTGGAGATGAAAAAAATTAGAGTAGAAATGATATCTGCACTTGTATGTTCATTGCAGCACAGTTTACAATAGCCAGAGTCTGGAAAAAAAAACAGAGTGCCTGAGAACAGATAATTAGGTTAAAGAAATTCTGGTACATCTACACAGTGGAATACTATGTGACTATTAGAAGAGATGAAATCATGGAATTCGCATATAAGTGGATGGACATAGAGAGTATCACGCTAAGTGAAATTAGTCAGAAAGAGAAGGACAGACATAGAATGATGGCACTCATTTGTGGAATATAAAGTAGCATAATATAAGACTAACACCTAAGGACAGTGGAGATAAGGGCCAGGAGGATCACACCATGGTTTGGAAGCCGGCCCCATATGCTGGGGGAAAAGGCATTCGGAACAGAGAAGGAACCACTAAGTAAATGATGATCGGAGGGATCGGAGATGTGTGCTGAAAGGAAACCAAGGACCAAACATGATGACCTCTTAGTATCTGTATTGCAAATCACAATGCCCAAAACCAGATAGAGCAGGAAGGATTTTACCTGCCACAGAGGCAGAGAGTGGGGTGGGGTGTGGGTAGTGGGTGGGACACTGGGAACAATGGTGATGGAAAATGTGCACTGGTGGAGGAATGGGTGCTCAAGCAGTTTGAATAAAATGCAACCATGAAAATTTGTAACTGTATCTCATGGTGATCCAATAAAACTTCTTTTAAAAAAAAGAGGAAAAAAAAGTGAAAATCTGTTTGTTTTTTTTCAATAGATATTATTACGAGAGAATATTTCTCTTGAAACTTGTAACTATCTTGTACTCTTTTTGTTTTGTTTTGTTTTGTTTTTTGGTTCACACCTGGAAATGCACAGGGGTCACTCCTGGCTCTGCACTCAGGAATTACCCCTGGCGGTGCTCAGGGGACCATATGAGATTCTGGGAATGGAACCCGGGTCGACCGCGTGTAAGGGAAAAGCCCTACCCGCTGTGCTATCATTCCAGCCCCTATCTTGTACTCTTGAGGGCATAAGATACCCAAGATGATGCTGAGAAGAATCAGAAAATTAAAATTAAAAATTTCCTTTTGATTACATTATGTATGCTCTGAAATAATTTTTTGAACATCTCTAATAAATGAAATTTAATTTTATTTAATAAATGATAAATTAAAAAAATAAATAATAAAATTTATTATTTTGTTTAAGGGCCATACCTGACAGTGCCTAGGTCTTGCTCCTAGCTTTGTGCTCAGGGATCACTCCTAGAGAGGCTTGAAGTATAGTGGTGCCAGGGATCAAACCAGGGCTCAGATGCCAGGCAAGCACCTCACCCTTTGACTTTCTTTTCAACCCCAGAATCGTAAAATTATTATAGCTCCTGAAGATTATTTAAGAAATCTGACACATTATAAATCTCATGTTTTCCAAGTATAGGTTGTTTATAATCACAATAAAAGATTGCAGCTGATAATCTTTAAGTAGCCTTGACAATTATGTTTATCATATAGTTAGGATATATTAATAGGTTATTAAACATTAACTGGGAAACTTAGTTTTCTACATGTCTGAATTTCCTGTAAGTTATCACAAAAGGGAATATACATTTACGTACAATATCATTACAGTAATTCAGGTGACAGTAAATAGACCAGTTTCATATGCCTATATTTGAAGTTTAAAAAAAAAACTGAATTTTAAGTTGGATCATAAGAAGTTTTAAAGATAATACATTTATTATTTATTAATTGAGGGCTGGAGCGATAGCACAGTGGGTAGGGCGTTTGCCTTGCACGCAGCCAACCCGGTCGGCCCAGGTTCAAGTGCTCTGTCCCTCTCGGAGAGCCCAGCAAGCTACTGAGAGTATCTCGTTCACACGGCAAAGCCTGCAAGCTACTCATGAAGTATTCGATATGCCAAACACAGTAACAAGTCTCACAATGAAGACATTACTGGGCCCACTCAAGCAAATAGATGAAGAACAGGAGGACAGTGCTACAGTTTCAGGAATTGAATTCAAGTAACAAAACTTTCTTATATTGGGTTTATAAATAGCAAGCCATATTGCACTTCAAAAAAATGTCTTGTCGGGGCCACGGTCATAGTCCAGTGAGTTGGGCACTTGCTTATATGGGGGTTCAATCCGTAGCATCCTAAACAGTATCACGAGCACCATCATGAGTAAAAAAAAAAAAGAGGAAAATTTTTTTCCTCTTTTTTTGAGTATTCAAAATATACATATACATATATATTTTAATTTATAATGAATCACCATGAGGTACAGTTACAATTTTGCAAACTTTTGTTCTTACATTTCAGTCATACAATGTTCGAGTTCCCATCCCTCCACCAGTGTCCATTCTCACCACCAATGATCCCAGTTTTCCTCCCACCAGCCCTATCCCCGCCCAACCCGCCTCTGTGGCAGGGCATTCCCTTTTGCGCTCTCTCCTCTCTCTCTCTCTCTGGATGTTGTGGTTTGCAATAGAGGTACTGAGTGGTCATCATTCAGTCTATAGTCTACTTTCAGCACACATTTTCCATCCTGAGCAGGCTCTCCAAGCACCCTTTACTTGGTGGTCCCTTCTCTATCTCCAAGAGTAATTTTTGAGTGCAGTGCCAAGAGTAAGTCCTGAGCACCGCTGGGTGTGACCACTCTCCCCGCCCCCCCAAAAAAATAAATAAAAAGAAAGGAAACATCTTCTCAATTATTTTCTTCCTTTCTTGAGGAAACTTTGAAAACCTAGTGCTAAAAATCTGGCTCCACTTTTAAATAGCCCTCAATTCTAGTTCTTTATCCTCTACTTAAACTCTGTGGTTCTGACTAGGCTGCTAACTTCCTCATTCTCGTAGCTTTTTAATAGTTAAAATTAGCACTTAATTATTAGAGCAATTGTGATAATAAAATAATTTACATTAAATATAACAGTAATATATAGCATTTCAGTGTTCAGTATTTGTTATTATAGATGTTGTTGCTACTAATTTAGGTCTTCTACAAATAACATTTTCCTGGTTTCATATCACAAAGAGTAAAAAGAAAGGTATACAAAGTTCTTGGATTTGAAAATTATACATTGGATTAATACCATATTATCAGTATCATGATCACGACCATCCTGTTGTTCGTCGATTGCCTCAAGCAGGCCCCAGTAACGTCTCCTTCGTCCTAGCCCTTAGAATTTTTTAAAAAGTGCCATATTCAAGGCTCTTTCAGGGTTAGGTGAATGAGATCCATCATTGTTACTGGTATATGGCATATTGGGTATGCCACAGGGAGTTGGCCAGACTCTGCTGTTTGGGCAGGTTACATTTGGTACCCTGCCAGGTTGTCCAAAGTAAGAGTGAGATAATAAGATGTCG